GAATTTCGAACGACCCACAAAAGGAGCATTTGTTCAAATTGGGTGTGTAAAAATTAACTACCAACGGCTACCTATAAATTAGGTGCAAATTTAACATAATATAATTAAATCTGAGATAGCCACATTAGGAGTTGACGGCTCATTTTAAGCAGACCTAACAATGTACATTTTAGCAGACTTAGCACTGTTAAGGCATTAAATATGGATAATACACTAATAGATTGTGTTCTCGTTTCATTTACTGTAGGACAATTCAGAGCGTTTAAGCTCTCATGACCTTTGAGTTTGACATGTGTGATGTAGGAAGTTCTGCCTTAGATTCTGAGTTTAGTGTTAATGGTGTTTTTTGGCTTTCACTATGAGGTGCTGATTGAGACCCTTGTGTTGGTCAGAGTGCAGTTATGACACCGCTGGAGGTAGAGGCAGATAGATTTTCAAGAGATGGAAATGGCTATCAGAGAGCTCAATCTGAGCTTTATTTGTCTATGTGTAACTTGAGATGGAGAACTTTACAATTGGATTTGTTATTTGGATAGTTGACTTAGCTATTTAAGACTGTTTCTGTTAAGTGCCCTGAGACAACTTTTTGTTTGGTTTAGAGCTATAAATAAATAAATTAAGAATAATATCAGGATTTAATTGGATTACTTTATTTTTAAGCTAATCTTAAATTAAGAAAAAGTTGAACTGAGTGAGTTCTTGAACCAGGAGGGATGTTCTGATGACACATAATGCACAATTGTTCATATAAGTTGCTGAAAACCCACATGCGATTTGCAGTTTGACGTCTTGGACTGGTTCTGAAGTGCCCAGTAGTGTATCCCATGTGCAGGTTGATGAAAAACTAGGCTGACAAGAACTTGTGACTTTATGAGACCACATCCTGTTCTGCTACCAAACAACAACAACAACAAAAATCTAAGTCTGGAGCACATGGACTTGAACTGAAACAAAATGCTGATCTCTGTGGACCTGCACTTTTGTCCAGGAGGGGGAGCTGGACTAACATCATGATGAACTCTTGAACTCTGAACTTGCAGTATCTCCAAAGACACACTGGAGAGAACCTGAAGCGGGCTGTCACTATACGTCTGGATTTGAGTGTCGACTTTTGCATGTGATGTACGGTGGTGCGTTCACTCTGGATCCAGGATAGATGCTGCATGTCGCTCTGACATAAATGCACCCACATAGACACACTTTTCAAACATTACAGCAAAATTTTGATTTTGAAAAGTAGTATTGTGGTCACTTGGGACACCTGCCTAGTTCAATGGCTTTTAGACAAAAAGAAGAGATTTATAATTTTACAATCTTATATCAAAAATGAATAAGGTACCCCTGAACAAATTATTGGATTTTCCATTGGGTTCACTTTGTCTTTACAGATTAGACTAAGGACTCAGGGACAAGAATGAAAAAGTGTTGTTTGTATTCTTTTTGGGTAACAAATGTTGGTCTTCAATATGAGCTGGAAAATCTGAACTGTGGTTGATCTCACATTTCCTATAGAGCGCTAATTTGGAAATAAATACATAAATAAATTATCATGTACAGGGGATGATTCGGTTCACACATGAACAGTAGTTTGGGCAAATACAAAACGGGAATCTTATTAACCAACAACCAAAACGGGAAAACTTTACTTCAATGTTTCTGAAACAGGGCACACTGGTGTACTGTTTCAGAAAAATGGGGGAGGTATATAGTGATTGATGTACTGATTTTATAGATTTGCCTTGCTAGAAAATTAAAAAGAGATGCTAATATACAAATTTTATCAACTTCACAACAAAACATTAAGGATGCTTTTTGAGAAAATTGAAGGATGCTTCATCATTTGTGTAAATTAGAGATCTTGATAACCAAAGAATCTCACTTTTATGTGTACAGGACGGTTCTCTTAGGGGGACGCCCCTTTTTCTGAGAAGACTTTTCTGAGACCCCTGTAGACTTTTCTGAGACCTTTGTAGACTTTTCTGAGACCTCCGTAGACTTTTGGTAGACTTTTTTTTTACCTTTTTTAGACCCAGGAGAACAATGAAAATGTGGTGGATCTATGTTTTTAGATATATTAACTTGACTTGACTTTATATGGGTACAGGTTTCACCCCTTATGAATTAACAACAGGAAGGTCTTTCCCTGGGCCTCAGCAAAATCTCGAGTGGCCCTCGGAACGGGTAATGAACATGTCACACAAGATGTATTAGAGGAGACTCAGAGCTTTGTTGTCCAGCTTTGCTCAACAGATTCCAGTACTCCTCAGGAGGAGGAGCCGGCGAGTCTCACTTCAAACTGGGTCCTGCTGAGAGTGGTGAGTGGTAAGTGGACGGAACCAAGGTGGACGGGGCCGTACGAGATCAAAGACCGTACCTCACACGCAGTACGTCTGAAAGGAAAAGGCTCCATGTGGTTTCATCTCATTCAATGTGCACCTGCTGAAGAACCCCACCGCTCGCTGAAAGAAGTTGAAGCAGACCTGCTGGAACTGCAGGAGTAAAGATCCCCACGGCATCTGGAGGGGGTGATCTGAAATTTGTGGGAGTTCATTCTTTGCCCCTTGTTGAAAAAGGCAACAGCAAAATTTGGAGAAGAAGTCTCCGCTCTGCCTAAGTCAGTCAGACAGGTGGAACGTGGAAGGAAAGAAGATTCCCAGCCCTGACCGTGAAGAAACGAAGACGCGACACACGGATATAGGTTTGACCCATCTGCACACACATCATTTAGAACGTCTGCTCAGACTGACAAAGTTTCTGAGGACTTTACATGAAGACATCTCCGCGGGCCGAATCCCGCTGAGCACCAAAAGGACCGTTGTGGACGAACAAGGCCTCCCACCGCAAGCTCAAGCACAGAAGACCTGCTAGCTAGAGTGTTTAATGAGTGTTTATCTTTTCTTTCAGTCATTCTGAGGAAACAACCAGAGCTTTTAAAAGGGTCGGTGAATTCAATTGAGAACTCTAAATATTCAAAATTTTACTCCATTCAATTGAACATCATAAACATTCTAAAATTCTTTGAGGTATTTTAAAGAGAGGTCAATCTTTTGGTATTTCTCAATTTTCAGGGGGCAATTTTGGCTATTTTTGAGTCTTTTATTAGTTGTTTTATAACTAGTGCTTTAATCGTTTACTCATTTCGAATTTTATCTTCCAGTAGTTTGGTAGTATTTTAATTAACTTCTAAGGTTTACTCATTTGGTATTTTTCACAGGTTTTGATGTGTTACACCATGGGTCTGTTCCAGAACCCCTGGAGGATTACAATAATATGGGGTGTGGTGACAGTGTTACTCACTTCCATAATTTTTCTGTGTGAATATTACTGTGTAATTCCAGGTCACTCCCGCTGTCAACATCAACAACTAAGTGTCAAACGCAGCGACCCTAAACTCTCAAGTGAATGAGGTGGATCATCTGTCGTTGAATCTGTCTCATAGTTTTCAAATGAACAGCGGGTACCGTTATGTTAAAGATCCACATCGTTGTAAAACTCGCAGGTACTCCCTGATGCAATCATCTCAGGTAGAGGTGCTGAGTCAATTATTAGAATGAACCCCAGAGGAACAATTCCTATTTGTGTCTATCGCCACCTGCAGGACGCTTCTCGGAAGGCAGTGGGCTCACTGCCTCCTGACAAGTGTCAAGCTGTTTATCATTCTAGGAATCATCACGTTTTAGACACCTGTTGCACCTATGTCCCGGATGAGACCGGACACGACCCCCAGGCCAGGGTGACCAACGCCTTGAACCAACTTAATGCGCTGCAGAAGGCTAAGAGTGAGGATCCTTCTCCAGGATCCTGGAAGTTTCTGTCTTGGTTCACGAGCGGCTCTGGAGTCAGATTGTGCTAAAGATTTTGGCCCCCGTGACTGCAATTCTTATTATTTTTTGTGTTTTGATGATTGTTATTATACCTTGTGCTAGAATGATCGTTCGTAAAATGATTCAGGTTGAGACTGAAACCGCTAATGTCATGACGCTGATGCAGAACTCAGGTGACCCCTCCGCAGATGATCAGAGCCACCTGGAGTGGGCAGAATCAAAATATCTGTAAAATCAAATCATACGTGGTGTGGTCTCCCATAAATATGGGGAGACCAAAAGAGGGTGTGTTGGATTTGATATCTTTAATATCTTTTGACAAGCCTTGACATTTCTCTGATGATGTGAAATGATGCATTTTCTACAAGGTGTGTGCGTGTATAATCATACACTAATTACTCCATGTTATATATAATCTTACAAATGCTAAGTATAATCATACACTAATTACTTCATGTTATATATAATCTTACAAGTGCTAAGGATAATCATACAAGTTCACATTTGATATAATTCTGAGGGAAACAGAGACAGGTAAGACACTTGTTTGTGCAGCAGGAAACGATCCTTCTTTGTTCTCTGAGCAGAGCAGCTGAGAGTGAGGGCCCAGCAATGTGACACACTGCTCACATGTTGATTAAACATAAATAACGCTAAATTACAACATTCATATACTTTATACTTAACACAGGTTGAGTATTTATGCTCTCACATTAATAATAGTTTAGACACACAGAAAACGTGTTTTAAAGCTTTACACAGACGAGAGCCAGAGTAAGTGTCCTGTGTTCCAAAACAAAGCTCGTAAATCAACCCTTATCAGTAAAAGAATGAGCAAGGCCGTCTGGAGTAACCATGGATAAGATCTGCTCCTGACTGGCTGAACAGGGTGTCACTCAGACCATCAAGAGGTTTTGACATCCAATCACAAGCCTGTCCGAACCCGAAAGGGCGGGACATGAGAAACCTATAAATCTCGCTCAGACACAAAGTTTGGTTGAACAAACATCGGCTGATTGACCAGGAAGGTTCATTCTGATTTTGTTCCTCAGACTGCACTCTGATTATATGTAATATCTGCATACTTTAACTTTGTCTCAATTAAATCTTTTATACTAAGGTGAAGTGCTCCTGAAATTCTGTGCTCGGGTCATTTGAACACCCAAAAATCCTTCACTGTCCCCCCCACTCCCGAGGACATCTGTGGTCTTATCAGAACCATGATGCTGATATCTAAAAAAGTTAAATCTGGTCCTCTGGACATTCAAAAAACTAAACAAAGCAAAAAATATGTAGAAACGTTTTGTCTCTCATCCTGAGGACTTCCTCAGTCTGAGGTGCTGTTTTCAGCTCAGTCTCTTAAATAGCACCTTCTCAGAGTGGATCAACCAGTTTGCTGCTGACAACCAGAACCAGCTGATCACATGCTCAAGAAGGACCATCAGCCTAACAATGGATCATTAGCACCTGATGGCTGTTTACTGTTCACAGAGGGCTGAGTGATACTAGCAATCACAGCATTGTAAGAGGGGGACAGTTGAACCCGGAGGCTCCACCCCTGTTTAATGATGGACGGTTTCTTTTCACAAAGATGGCCTCCTTTACTCCTCTCTCAAACCATCGTTCCTCTCTGTCCAGGATGTGAACATCTTCATCCCTGAAAGAGTGACCGCTGGCCTGGAGATGAGTGTAGACCGCAGAGTCCTGGCCTGATGATGTTGATCTTCTGTGCTGGGCCATCCTTTTGGCCAGTGGCTGTTTTGTTTCCCCGATGTAAGACTGATCACCCTCCTGACACTGAACAACATACACAACATTACTCTGTTTGTGCCGGGGGACTGGATCTTTGGGATGAACCAGTCTTCGCCATAATGTATTATTATATTGAGTAAAGGAGGCCATCTTTGTGAAAAGAAATCGTCCATCATTAAACAGGGGTGGAGCCTCCAGGTTCAACTGTCCCCCTCTTACAATGCTGTGATTGCTAGTATCACTCAGCCCTCTGTGAACAGTAAACAGCCATCAGGTGCTAATGATCCATTGTTAGGCTGATGGTCCTTCTTGAGCATGTGATCAGCTGGTTTTGGTTGTCAGCAGCAAAACTGGTTGATCCACTCTGAGAAGGTGCTATTTAAGAGACTGAGCTGAAAACAGCACCTCAGACTGAGGAAGTCTCTTGGATGAGAGACGAAACATTTCTATATTTTTTTGTTTTGTTTTGTTTTGCTTTGTTTAGTTTTTTGAATGTCCAGAGGACCAGACCTAACTTTTTTAGATTTTTCTACCTGGATTATTGAGCATGCATCAGGATACATGAAGCTGATAGACACAGTACCATCTTATCAGAACTTTGGAATTTTCCAAGTGTCCATGGACAACTCACCACCTTTGTCGACTTCTATTCATACATGTATTTTGATGTCATTGTATGTTGCTGTTTTATGTTGCGAGGTCTTTTTTGCATTTTTTACACTGTTTCCCGGCCAGGACATGGTGTGAGACATGATTTTTTTTTTGTCTTCCTCCATCCTCGTATTCTCTTTGTCTCATCTGCCTTTACGTTGTACGTAACAGGTCTCTCTTGAAAATGAGTCTTCGAGGCTCAATGGGAACTAACCAGTATAAATAAAGGTCTAATAATAATAATAATAATAATAATAATAATTTGCCTTATGGACTAATTATCAGAAAACTGCACGGATATGTTCATCAACTCTTGAACAATAAAAACTGTTGCTAAAGTTTCACACATTACCTTGGATGAATTTTCTAAACGTACAAGTACAAGTCTTATACCGTATTTTCCGCTGTACCCATCGCACCACCCTAAGTCGCATCAGTCCAAATATGTCTTAAAAAAGTGGAAAAATCCATAAATATGTAGATTCGCCGTATACATTGCATCTATTATTAGTCACCGCTGACGCATCACGTTTGTTACGCATCACCGTTGACAACCCGGAAATGTGGGCTGAACTCAGAAATGTAAATGGTCTGCACTTATACAGCGCCTTTCTATATTATTTCAAGATACTCAAAGCGCTTTCCACTACAATCTGTGCCTCACTGACCCATTCATACAGCACTCTACTAGATCTCTACAAAGCTAATTGAACAAATCATTCTAAAGAGACTATTCAGAGCTTTATCACATTCATACACCGATGGGACACACATCAGAGGCAGTGAGGGGTTCAGTGTCTTGCCCAGGGAAACTTCAGCAAAAGTGGGCAGGTGTTGTGCCAAAAATCGATGGGCTGCCAAATGGCGGAAGCAGTAGCATGCACAGGAGGACTTTAACAAGAGTTTAACAAGATTAACACTTAAAAACAATTATTTGTGTGCTTGAAATTATAGCAAAGGTGTGTCTCAGTCTAACTTTTACTTAATAAATGCACTTTCATGGTCAAATTAGCGGCATTTCGCCAGGGCGGTGAAGCTGGTTTGACTTGCTCCAAGCAGCGAGCAGAACGAAACTGGGGGGGACTAAGGCAAGCCAATTGTATTATTAATAGCTGTTGAAGATTCTCAGTCATCCAGGACATGGTAAATTCAAAAAAGTTCAAGACAAAAATAAAAAAGTATAAAGTATAATAAATAAACTCCAATTGTTTTTGTATTGAACTTTTGTTAATTTGTCATTATAGCCACGGTTACCTATTACATTATACAACGGCATGCCTTACTGCTACTACTACTCTGATGCCATCTAGTGGCTGAAGGTGGTACTGTTTGATTTTTTTCAGTCAGAATTAATGAAAACAGTCATATCTCAGCCAAAAATTGGTTTATAAATATGGAAAAAAAATTCATAAATACGTCGCTTCAGCCTATAAGTCTAAATTAAGGTTGAATAAAAGTCGCAGGGCATGCAAATTATGCACAAAAAAAAAAACATGACTTATACACAGAAAAATACGGTAATTACAAATTTAATGAGACTATAACTAAAAATTTCTATATTTTCTCAAAATTTGATGTCTTCAACAGTTGCAACCCAGTGGAATATTGGCTTAAGATTAACCGAACCAGTTCCAGTAAGTCCAGGTTTCAGCCGCTGTCCTGAACTGATGAGGTAATGTGTGCAGGCAACAGCTGGTACCTGTCCTTTGGAGAGACTCTCCCATCTGTCGGGGCCCTGAGGAAGCAGAGAGTGAAGCAGCTCCATCCTTTCTCTTAGTGGAGGCAGCAACATTGTCGCTCCCACGGACAGAGTCTCAATCACCGCCTGAAAGAAAAACAGTCAGCAGCTTCAGAAGGAGCTTACAAAAGTTATTTATTTTGATTATTGAACATCAGAGCTCTTTCCTCTAAATCCCTGTTAGTTAATGAACTGATAACTGATCATCATATTGATTTATTGTGTCTGACAGAAACTTGGCTACAACAGGAGGATTTTGTTGGTATAAATGAATCCACTCCTGTTAATTATTTAAATTTTCATGTTCCTAGAACAACTGGCCGAGGTGGAGGAGTAGCTTCTATTTTTCAGTCAGGATTATTGATTAATGCCAAACCAGTTATTAGTTATGATTCTTTTGAATCACTGTCCCTCAGTCTTTCTCATCCAAAATGGAAATCAGAAAAGCCACTTTTACTAGTTGTTATATATCGTCCACCAGGAGCTTACTCTCAGTTTTTGTCTGAATTCTCAGAATTATTAACTGACTTATTATTAAATACTGATAAAATCATCATAATGGGTGATTTCAATATTCATGTGGATGTTGAGAGTGATAGTTAAAGCATAGCCTTTAATAATTTAATAGACTCATTTGGTTTTACCCAAAACGTCCACACATCTACTCATGTTTATCATCACACTCTTGATTTAGTTCTGACCTATGGTGTAGAGATTAAGGACTTGGTAATAGTTCCTCAAAATCCTGTTCTGTCCGACCATTTTTTAATAACCTTTGAGTTTACATTAAATGACTACACAGTCACTGAGAGTAAATTTCATCTCAACAGGTGCTTATCAGAAAATGCTGTAACCAAATTTAAACGATCTCTTCCATCAATGTTTTCCTCTGTCTTGCAGAGTAATGCATCAGAGAACAGTGACTTAGATCATCTAGTTGATCATCTTACAACTTCAATGCAAACTTCACTTGATAAAATTGCTCCACTGAAAAAGAAAGTAATCAATCAGAGGAAACTGGCTCCTTGGTTCAATTCTGAGTTACGTACTTTAAAGCAGCATCTAGAAACCAGGAGAGAAAATGGCGCTCTACTAATGTTGAAGAATTTTATTTAACTTGGAAAGATAGTCTGCTAACATATAAAAAAGCTCTCCGTAAAGCTAGAACTTTATATTACTCATCTTTAATAGAGGAGAATAAAAATAACCCTAGGTTTCCGTTTAGCCCTATTGCTAGACTAATTAAAAGTCCCATTTCTGTTGAACCATGTATCCCTACAACTATAAGTAGTGATGACTTCATGAGATTCTTTATAAATAAAATTATTTCAATTAGAGAGAAAATTCAAACCATCCTTCCTTCTACTATCTCTAGTCCCCTGTCAAATGAGGCAACTTTAAAAATTTCACTAGAGCCTGATTTATGTTTGGACAGCTTTTGTCCTGTTGAGCTCTGAATTGTCAAAAATAATAACGTCATCCAAACCATCCACATACCTGCTAGATCCCATCCACATGCCTGCTAGATCCCATCCCAACCAGACTGTTTAAAGAGGTATTCCCCTAATTAATGTCCACATTTTGGATCTACTTAATTTGTCTTTAATGGATGGTTATGTACCACAGCTCTTTAAGGTTGCTGTAATTAAACTTTACTTAAGAAGTCTGATCTTGATTCATAAATCCTGGCCAACTATAGATCTATATCTAATCTAACTTTCATCTCAAAAATTCTAGAGAAAATAGTTGCAGGTCAGTTGCGTGAACATCTACAAAGAAATATTCTGTTTGAAGAGTTTCAGTCAGGGTTTAGAGCTCATCATAACACAGAAACAGCACTAGTAAAAGTAACTAATGATATTCTCATGGCCTCAGACAATGGACTTGTGTCTCTACTGGTGCTGTTAGACCTCAGTGCTGCATTTGATACAGTTGATCACAATATTTTACTACACAGGCTTGAATATGATGTTGGGATTACAGGAACAGCTCTAAAATGGTTTAAATCACATCTATCTGATAGATTCCAGTTTGTAAATGTAATAATAAATAACAAAGTCCATGTTCAATAATCCAGGTATACAATCCAACATTTTTCAGTCAGGTCCTCTGGACAGTTTCTTTATTTGTGCTGAAACGTTTCACCTTCAATCCGGAAGGCTTCATCAGTCTGATGGGCTTTGTTGTTTTCAACCAGTTTGACAAGACTGTCAACAAGGAAGAGGGCAGGCAATGGAGGAGGGGCGTACCAAAGAGACCATCTTATCACAAGCAGAACTGGTTTGTTCCACTTTGAAGTAAGCTGTTGGAGGAAGAATCAGTTTTGATTTGACCCTCAGCACACAAGTGGTTCTACCAAAGAACGGTTCATGAAGAATAAAGTTCATGTTTTGGAATGACCAAGCCAAAGTCCTAACCTTCATCCAATCCAGATGTGGAAGGACCTGAAGCTGCAGTTAATGTGAGGAAACCACCAACATCCTCTCTAAGTGTCTTTAAGAATCTGTTGGACTCCTGGCAGGGACCAATGCAGACATGTTCCTGTTTTTAGTTTTCTACATTCACCTTAGAATCTAGCTGTTTTTTGTTACTTTTTTTGCATCTTATTTGTAAAAAAATAAAAAATAAATCTGTATGCCTTTTTGAACAAAGAAGACCAGGATCATCCCCCAGACACCTGCAGCTGGCTGTCTGCAATGATGAGAAGCTCAACAAGCTGCTGGGAGGAGTGACCATCACTCAGGGAGGAGTTCTTCCCAAGATTCAGGTGGTCCTGCTGCCCAAGAAGACCAAGAAACCCACCAAATCCAAGTAGAGAGATGCAACCAGTTTCTTCAGATCTGCTCTAAAACAGACGCTACAAGAGATCCTTCCTGCCCACAGCCATCAGCATCTAGAACAACTTTAATGAATCCAGGATGATGAGCTACAACAACATTTAATTTCTCTTTGGGATTAATAAAGTATTTAGAATTTATAACTGTCCATTGTTGTCATCATTCTTTGTTAAATCAGGTGTCTCTTGTAAATGAGTCCTCGAGGCTCAATGGGACTAACCTGTCGAAATAAAGGTTGAATGAAAACAAAAATCCAGAGTTGAAGCTCTTCTGTACAGAGGAATGGACTAAAATTCCTCCAAGCAGGTGAGCAGGACTGATCAACAGGTAGTGAAACGTTTAGTTGCAGTTATTGCTGCATGGAGCGAGGGGTGTGGGTGGCACCAGATACTGAAAGCAAAAGTTCACATCATACTTTTACCACAACTATGTGATACTGGATAATTGTCCTCAATAAATAAAGTTATTTTATTAAAAAAGAAGAAGAAGAAGTCCTCTATAAATAAATGACCCAGTATAATATTTTGGTTCAACTGGTTTCTCTTTATTTACTTTTAGCACTTGTGTGAAAATCTGATGATTTTAGGTCATATTGATGCAGAAATACAGTATATAATAAATATTAAATCTAAAGTATTCAATCTAAAGTAAGGTTCAATCTAAATAATAATAAATATATACGTACAGTATATGTAAAGCGTTCACAAACTTTGTAGAACCACTGTAGTGTAGTGTGGTGTGGCATAGCTTAAAGAGTGGGAGAAAAGATGAGCCTTTAAATGATGACTGTCAGAGTCAGTGACTTAAAACGGACTTTAAAGCTCTACCTGCTGCAGCAAATTTAGGACAAGGGTAATCAGAGCGCTTCTTTTGGGGCTTCGTGTTGCTGACAATGTAACCTCTGAAACAATGACACAACATGCTACAACACCTTACTCCTCATCATGGTACAAGTCTGTGGCACACAAAGTTGAAAGGGGACTGGAAAAGACATGAGCCAGGGTTGACATTTGTCAACGGACTTGGGCCCCAATGAAAACTGCTTGCAGTTCTGGTGTAGTGTTTGACTTTGTATACTGTCACCAGATGAATTCTGTACCTCCTGGATGTCATCAGGCACTGACGCGTCCATCAGTCTGAAGAGCAAGTTCCTCAGCGGCCTGGCCTGTCGACCCAAAATACTTATGGCCACGCCCCCAGCTAGTGCCAGAGCCAGATGATTGGATAAAAGTCGAAGACATAGCTTAAGGAAGTTATGATGCTCCCTGCAAACATGGAAACTTCATTATTTTTAGGAAATTATAGAATCTGCAGATAACTTGTGCGTAAATGGACTCACCTGGAGGATGGGAAGGGAAGGGGGGGAATTTCACTGTTGATGCCATCACAGTAGCGTTCAAGAAAGGAACGCAGGTGAGAAAAGGTGCTTTCTTCAAGGTCAACACAGTACGGCCGATGCCAGGCCACCACCTGCCTGCAAAGCAACAAAAAAGAACTAAAAAGAACTCGTGATGTTTTTAGTTAAACAGTTTAAGGTTACTTTATTGTCATTCTCATCACATGTGGTACATGAGGTGGAATGAAATTGTGTGCTGAAGGTCCAGTTACACCCAAAAATAGCAAAAATATTAAGTATAAAAAAAGAAACAGTATACAAGGATCTAAGATATACATTAAACAATAATAATGTAATATAATACATGTGACAAACCAGACAGAAACATCAGCAAAAATTAAAGTAGCAAGCAGCAATGAACAGCCTTGGAACCTTAACAGCACTACAGCCAATGTCCCAATCCATGAGCAAAAAGCACCGCCACCTCTACAGTTACAAGAGGACAAGCAAAAACAGTCAAGTCATAACACTTATTGACTAGGGACAATCTGAGATAACCTCATGTTTTGGATCCAGGCATTTTTTCCTTTAGGCTGCATTCACAGCAGCCCTGTTTACTCCGCTGTAATCGAACTCTAGCTCGTTTTCCTAGGAAGTCCGGTTGGTTTAGGGAGGTGTGAACGCACCATCGAACTCTGTCACGGAACAAAAAGGCGAACTCTGGCCCGGACTAAAACCTAGGTCTTGGTCCGGTAGAAGAGAACTCCAGCACGGTTCGAGTGCAGTGTGAATGTAATCAGACCGGGCCCCGTTCCACAATCATGAAGTGTAGTACAGCGCAGGACAAACACACATTTCTCTTAGCTCATATGGAGCCGTCAGCTGCCTTGTGTGGAAAACAATATTCTCCATGTTCTTCTGTCTCATCTTCTGCTCATGCTGAGTCCATTTTTGAAAAATGACTAAATATAACTCCTAAAACTGATAAAACTTGATGCCACTTCGTTTTTATTTTTATTTACAGAAGAAGAAGAAGACGTGTATTCAGAGGTTTTTGTGTCGTTTCTTTCAGTAGTTCTTGTGCAGCGCCCCCACAGGCGAGCGGGGGAATAGGTTGGTTCAACAGGTTGACTCGACTGCACAGTGCAGTGTGAATGCAAACGCACCAGCTCAAATGTAACAAAAGCTCATGAATATTGGTCCAAAACCGAACCGAGTCTACCAGACTATCTGCTGTGAAAACAACCTGATAGGTGTTAAAATTAGGGCTGCAACTAACAATTATTTCAATAATCGAATCATCGGACGATTATTTTTTCGATTAATCGATGAATCAGCAAAAAAAAAACGTTTTAATTTCCACCCCTTTATTCCAAAATTGAACATTTGACTGACATAGCAATTGACACTAAAAACAGGTTGCTATTTGACTATTGTATTAGTAAAATATTGAATAATAAAAAAATAAGTTAGTCAAATAGCTTAAAAAAATAAATGTACACAAAAATATATACAAATGTGTCTTTATACCTGCACAGTATGTAGCTACTTTGTAAAAAGTGTCATTGAGGGAAGAGTGTAACCTGGATTAAAAGTGTGGATTATTGTAACCTGGATTAAAAGTGTGGATTATTGTAACCTGGATTAAAA